TGTTGGGGGATTGGCATCGGCCCCAAGTTGGCCCAATATACCATGAATCTGATTGAGTATCATGGGTAGACACCATCCGGGTTACTTGTAATATCCGCGCCATTTTTAATCTGACACGAGCGGAATGAGACTGATGCCTTGCATATCTGCATCCACTTTGTAAGTATTTATAATATATTTGCTTCGACACAGCTTAATTAATGTTTATAGTTTAAACGATATCTTGTACAAATCTGTGTAAATAAGTGCAGAGGCCATTTGCTGTCGAGACAACACTGTCCCAGATAGCATGCTAACACTGGGCCAACGTTGGGCCAATGTTACCGGTTACATCGGGCCAATGTTGGCAAATGACATTGGCCCAATGTAAGTTTGCTTATCGGCCCAATGTTGGCCCGATATGTTGTGCCGACGTTTGCCCAATGTAGAATGTTATTTCTACAGATGTTGGCCCAACGTTGCGACAACATTGTCCAATTAAATGAATGCGACACTGGGCCAATTTTGGCCCAACGTTAACAATAACATTGGGCCGATGTTGGCAAATGACGTTGACCCAGTGTCATTTTGCTCATTGGCCCAATGTTGGCCTGATATATTGGACCAACATTGGACCAATGTGAATAATATTTAATTGTTACAAATCTGTATATTAACAAATTCGGTAGTCTCTAAAATCAGAAATAAATCTACCACCAATCCTTCTTGAAAATACAAGTTAGCTAAAATAAATTTACAAGGCTTGTTAAAATTCTTAATATTCATCAAAACAAAATAGATTATCTGTGATTAAATTTATTGTTTCTAACTTTCTATACAAGAAAAATATATGAAAGTATAAAATAACAAATGTGTTTTGATACAGTTAAAACAATAAATTATTTGCCCCTTATTTAGATTGAAATTTGTGTCTAGTAGAATAAATTTCTACCACTCATTTTACTTGTATACACTTAAAGTCGAGCACATATGACCAAACATGTTGAAAATGTTGAACATGTTAAAGTTAAAACAAAATTTATTCAGTACTAAAGGATAGATTGGGTTCTTTCATTTAAAATGTGTTCAGTGTACTAACAAATTTTCTATACATGTATTTAACTTTGAATAATGAGTTATATGGCGCAACATTAAATTAAAATCGGTGTAATGGTGATCAAGCATAGAAATTTTATGCATAAATGCCTTCATCACGCAAGCTAATCGCTTAATCACACCATCAAACAAAAAAGACGGTTATTCTTCAATTGACAGCTTAAAAATATAGTGATGTACTTATAAATTTAATCGTATGTTTACTCTTTACTGAGAAAAGTAAGTAACAAATGTATAAAGTACCAAATACTACAATTTTAGTGGTACTGAAGATTCTAAAAAGACATTGAGAACACAATCAAAGAATGGCTAAAGTATGCAAAGGACAGGGATGGGGAGGAAGAAACGGACAAAGAAGAAAAGAAGGGGGAGGAGACTCTGGAGAGAGAAGAGGAGACTTAGGAGAGGGATCAGATTGAACGCGGCAGTGTCTAACTTTTTCCTGTTTGGGCTGTGACATACCTGTATTTCTCTCCTTTTCTGTGTCTGTTTGTCGGTAACAAACATGATGCAGATGTCAGATACATTTTTATGTGTAAGTAAACAAAATTGCGAGATTCATTTTAGTATTATTTTAAGAAAAGAAGGTCTTTGTTTATTTTTAAGACGTGCTTATTGATATCTGCAATTTACTGAACTTGTGCATAAATTTACATCAGAAAGGGAGTATACAATCATTTAACCCTACATGTATCGCTTCAAGTGAGCATCAACTTTTTGTTCTTTATGTTTTCTTCATGCTTTGAGCAATAAAATATTAGTATGTTATAATTTTATTTAATAATATGATTTCTTTTTGCTCAGTTTTTTAATTAATGTAGAGCTACTTACAATGTAATACTTGTTGATGGTAATTCTTTGAGATATTGTGAATATGTATTAAACTATTAATCTAGCATATATAAAGGGCTTTTACCAATAAATAAAGGGCTTTTACCAATAAACTGTACTACAAAACTACGATAACCTTATATAGTTTGTTATTACATTCTGAGGACAAATGGCCAGCCAGTGAAGAGCAAATGAGTTGTCCTGATGGAGAGCCAATAAGATACAAACCAACGTTGGTCCAAAAATTGTGTTTGCCTCATATTGAAAAAATAAGTGGCCCATCAATGGCTGAATGATATCCGTTCGTTGGTCCAACAATAAGCCAACAAGTTGGTCTGATTAAGGGCCGATGAGCAAATTACCGTTGGCCCAACATTAATTGCTTACAATGGCCCAACTGTACAAAAGTGACGTTTGCCCAACAATGAAAGAATACATTGGCCCAACAGTGGTCCAATATTAACTGTTACATTGGCCCAACAATAAGCCAACAAGTTGGTTTGATTAAGGGCCGATGAGCAAATTACCGTTGGCCCAACATTAATTGCTTACAATGGCCCAACTGTACAAAAATGACGTTTGCCCAATATTGAAAGAATAAATTGGCCCAACAGTGGCCCAATATTAACTGTTACATTGGCCCAACAATAAGCCCACAAGTTGGATTGATTAAGGGCCGATGAGCAAATTACCGATGGCCCAATGTTGAATGCAAACGGTGGCCCAACATAAGGAGCATTGTTGGCCCAACAAAGGTCCAACAGCATCCTGCTATCTGGGAAGGGGCTTGCTCCCGGTGTGTAATATTTATTTATTTAAAAAAAAAATCATATAGTTACGGTTTTATTATTATTTTTTAAAATAAATAATTATAACACGCCGGGAGCAAGCCCCTGTGGACAGTATCACTTGTCTAGGGAATGTTAAGAAAATATATTAATAAAATCGTAAAATATAGACATCATATCCTCTTATATATCTGCAAATAGGTATACATGAAATATTTTATTTGATGACAAAATGCATTTCTCATTGTATAAAATGTGACTTGATAAGGCTTTCGCTGCGTACTTGTAATGTAAACTGTTTCAACTTTTGCATGACGTCTCCTTGACGAGTGCATTATAATCAGTGAATTGTTTCGATCTTGCTGTGTAGGATTTAACTAACGACGAAACTACATTAAACAGTAAGTTTTGATGATGATTAGTTGTTCAGAGTTACTAATATTTTGAAATTTAAAAAAAAATCATTTTTGGGGTAATTTGAAGATCTAATATTTTTTGTGTGACGTCACTGTAAACTTTTCCCGTATAAACAAGCATTCTGAGAGTATTGCATTAGTAATACATGTCCCCTACCGAGATCCCCTATTCTCTTTAGGATGTCATTTTATAATATCGTATAGTATTTGAAAAAGTATTAAAGTGCCCCCAAAATGTAAACCTTTCGGTGATTACTTCTTTATAAATGAAATATCTTGGAATAAAGTCGATCTGCTTTTCGGAAGCAGGAAGACGTGTTTGAATGCCTTTAGAAATACATGCATGCTTTGAAATTGATCAAAACATCTAATTTTGCATGGTTACCAATCAATTTTTTTTATAACAATCAAACTTAATCTATGGCTTGTCACTTGGTAAGAATAATCTAACTGTGTCTCGGGACAAACCCTCACCACAGTTAGAATACCTCCCTATCGCTCACGATGTCGCATAAAATTGCAGAATGAGAATCGCATCAAAGCGATTTATTAGGAATAAAAAATGATATTCCATTGAAAATAAATTACCAAATTCATTTAAACAAGCCGTTTGATTAATTTTTCTTTTGAAACCTAAACAAATAATAAAAAGAAAAAAATTCAACTCACTTTCTCAAAGTCTTTTTCTCGTTTCATATTTACAAACCATGTTAACTTTCGGTATTAGAATGCACTGAATTTTTTTCCCTATATTGTGTCACTGCCTATAAACAGAACACAATCTACAGTTTATATCGGGTCCTAGAACACCCGAAGTTGACATCAAAAAGATGCCCATGGGTACCAATTGCGCTCCGTTATAAGCAGACCTAATTTTGTATTCTTATGAAGCAGAATGTATGCAAAATCTTATGCATGAAAAGAAGAAAACACTTGCTGTGACCTTCAACTCGACATTTAGATAGATCGACAACGTATAATTAATTAATAATCATGGTAATTACCATTCCTATGTCCATGCGATATATGCCGGTGAGCTTGAGAGGTATCACCGAGTCTGACACATCTATTTCATACTTGAATATTTTACTAGAAAAAGACCTTAATGGCAATCTAATCCAACAACCAATCTAAATGATAAACGTGATGACTTTAACTTTTCTATCGTCAACTTCCCTTCAATATCCCTTCATTACCTTCATACAGGGTTTATATGTCTCAGTTGATTCGATATACAATAGCATGCTTTACGTTTGAACAATTCTAAAACGAGGTAAATTATTGACAAACAAGTTGATGAAACAAGAATATCAGCAGCCTTGTTTGAAGTCTTCATTTCGTAAGTTCTAAGCAAAAAAAAAAATAAAAATAAAAAATAAATAAATAAATAAATAAAATAATAAAAATAAAAAAAAATAACCCCAAAATTAAACAGTTATTCCTTATTTGTTTCAAACCGAACTGACTACGATTCCTATGCTTTCTTTGCTTCCAAGAAGAAGATATTGATATAACGTGGGGTGTAATCAGTCGATGGGGATGCTTTCTTCCTATCTGCACCTGCTCTCGCCTCTGATCCGTCCTGGCTTCCTCTTTATTTTTTTTTATTAAACATTTATGCTTCAATGCTGTTCATTATATTAACATTTCATTTTGACAATTGAAAGTCAACCAAAAAAGTAATACACATGAAAACCTATACGTTATCATTAACCTGTTCAAATGATTATTGCAGGGGATACTTAGTCCTCCTAGTCACCTGATTCCATCTTTGGAATCTTCAGGGATCTGCTCTATGCCTTGTTCAAAATTTATAAATGCTTTTGACATCTCAAATTGTTTGTTGCTTTAACTTTTACCCTTTTTAAGAATGAAAAGAAGAAGGCAATCAAGCACTTTATGGCTCATCCTGACTGTTATTGGAGTAGTCACATGGGTGTACTCTACCAGAGTTCTCATTTTGAAAGTGTCAAAGAAACATGTTCAGAAATCTGGATTGACAAAATCAGACGTTAAACATTACTTGTTGCGCCCACAAAGGACACTGACTCAAAACAACAATAGGGATGGACACTATTTCCAAGTAAAACAAAATAAAGAAGTTTATAATATTCTTCACAAAGAAGGGGGATTTTTTGTTGACATTGGTGCGCATGATGGTCAGTTTTTATCCAATACACTTTGGCTGGAGAGACGACACAACTGGACAGGTCTCCTGATAGAAGCAAACCCTGACCTCTGTTATAAAATTGATCAACTAAAAAGAAACGCATGGAGGCTATGTGCTTGTGTATCTAGTACTCAAAAGAACATTTCATTTATTAAAAGCAGTGGTGTAGGTGGCATCGCAAACCATATTGATAAACACCACATCAAAACGTCAAACAAGAAAAACACAATAATTGTACCCTGCTTCAGCTTCGAGCAGATTTTCGTCACGATAGGTGTCAACCATATTGATTTTTATGCATTAGACATTGAAGGGGCAGAAATGGCTGTCCTTGAATCCATGAAATCAGGACTCAAGACAGGTACCTTCACAGTGGATGTTTGGTCCATTGAATATAGAGTATGGGATGGTCAAAAGATAGTCGTTGAGAAATCAAAAAAGAATCTGAAAGAAATAAGAGACTATTTCAAACATATTCGGGGATATTTTGAACATTTACAGTTATCAACAGGCGGTAATGGTAAGAATAGATATGCTCTTGATTTAGTGTTTGTTCGAATTTCGACATGGTGTAAAACAAGAGATAGTTTCCCAAACGGAACAAGCTGCCCTGGAAAGGAGAAAGTCTACAACATCAACAAATATCTTAAAGCTCCTCATCCTTACCGAAAACTAGAGAATGCAGACCACTTGCATTCACAAGCCAAGCAAGACCAAGTTGTTTATGAAATTGTTAAAAAAGATAGAGGATTTTTTGTTGATATTGGCGCTTACGACGGACGATTCTTATCCAATACGTTATGGTTAGAACGAAAACATAACTGGACGGGACTTTTAATTGAAGCTAATCCAGGTTTGTGCCTAAGAATAGACCAGGTAAGGCGCCATGCCTGGAGAATGTGTGCATGTCTCTCTAATTCACAGAAATCGGTCTCATTTATTAGAGGAGATACCATTGGTGGAGTTGAGCAACATATTGACAAATATAATATCAAAATGTTAAACAAACAAAACAAAGTAGTTGTCCCTTGTTTTAGTTTGGAAGAAGCGTTGAATATAATTAAAGTCTTTCATATTGATTTCTATTCCCTGGACGTTGAAGGCGCGGAATTGGCGATCCTGGAATCGCTGAAGGATGGACTCAGGTCGAAGCGTTTTACAGTAGACGTTTGGACGATTGAATACAGAGTCTGGGACGGCCAAAGGGTTATTGTGGATAAATCTCTTGAAAATCTTTATGCATTGAGAAAATATTTTCAAGAAATCGGTGGATACAGCGAACATTCCCAGCTTTCCAACGATGGAAATTTTACAGACGGATATGCCCTAGATGTCGTGTTTGTACGTAATGAGATGTGGTGCAAGTCTCATGAAAAATTAACAAATGGTGCATTGTGTTCAAAATATGGTTGAACGTTGGTATTTGGAAAGATAAATCGTCAGTGAATAAACTAAACATATACATGTAAATGCGTAGTTTGTATAGATTGTCTTCCAACAATCTCTTGGAATTCCATGAGTACCAATAGAACCCTCGTTATTATCAGACCCATTCATATGAAACAGAATTGTCTAAAGTCTTTAATGTGAAAAGATGAAAACGTTAAGACTTGCTGTGGTATTCACCTCTCAATGTAGATATATCGACGATAGATCGTCAATTAACAAAGGTTTTTTTTCCATTCTCATGTTGATACGATATATGCTGATGAGCTTGAAATAAAAGATACCACAGAGTCTGACACATCGATTTGTTTCATATTTTGATATCTTCCTTAAATGCCATTAACTTTTCAATCGTTAACTTCCTTAACTTATGCAGCAATACAACTTCATCACCTGAATACGGGGTTTATATCTCTCAGTTGATTTGATATACAAAAGCATACTCTACGAAAGAACAATTCCTTAAACGAGGTAAATTATTGAGAAACAATTTGCTGATACAACAATATCAGCAGTCTCGTTTAAAGTCCTTATTTCTTAAGTTCTATGGTCGATACAATGAACTAGTCAGCAAATACAATTTATCTAAAGTCTATTGCTGATTGGCGTTTTTCATACTGATTCTTAATCCATGATTTACATACAGATTTTCCCGTTATTTCTGGATCATGACACACGGCAGTTGTGACCGGTCGGCAAGGGATGCTACATAGCACCTGATCCCACCTCTGATGTTTTTACAAAATGTATGTAAGGTAATATAGAATGTAGCAGGTATAGAAATATTCCTAGAAATGAAAGAGTATGTAAACTTTGTCTCAAAACAAAAGGTAATCTTTGTATTGCATATGAAGTCCTCTTTATTGAATATTGTGGTCTGAATACTATTAATAATATTAGAAAGAAGCTGTCAAATATGAAAACATTTCTTTCTTTTTTTTTTTTTTTTTTTTTTTTTTGGTAATACAAGAATTTATTTCAATATGGATAAATGCTTTGGCACAGCATGTCTTTCTAGTTTTAAAGGAAGAGAATTTTCACGAAGTCTCACGAAGATTGATAATACAAAAATAAAGATCAAGATGTTATATTTTGTTTAATGCTTGAAGAGGATTATGCTATGCAAATTACATGCGACTTGAAATGTATTGTACGTTGGGCTTGTGACCTTGAATACTCTAATAAATATATATTGGTTGATAATGTTTTGAACATCAAATAGTATCAAACATTTAAAAAAAAAATAAATTTCAGAAAAGATAGTTGAGGATCATTGATAATTAAGAAAAACATTGTTGCTCTCCTGACTGCCGTAAAGTTGAAAATTAAAACCATAAAAATCAAAAATTCAAAAAGGGTTGACAGCATGAATTGTTAACGAAAATATGCTATATTTTTTATCCAATATTTCAAAATTTAAACATCTGAAAGTATTTGAACTGACTTTTTGCCTTGAAGAATTCTTTATCTATGTCAAAAAACTAGCTAAAATATACATAATTATGTATAATTAGAAGATAAGATATATTTAATGGGATATTTTCCTTCTCCTTCTCTGGAAAAACACTGTAAGCAAGTGAGGTCAACAAAAACATTCAATTCATAATTTTTTCTTCATATTGATTCTCACATATTTGTTACATTCCTGGCTACGAAGAAAGGAGACTTTAAAGTAGGATTGCAAAGCAAAAAAATATCAGAACGTGTGGTTTATTGAAGTTGAGGTGAAATTATGTGCATTTAAAACGATTATTCAGTTTGTTTATTTTCATATTCATTAAAACGTTCAAATAAAAAATTAAAACACATTTGAAAATTGAATGATATCATTAAATATTGGTGAATTTACGTACTAAATTTACTTACTGACGCCTGTATCTGACATTTTAGATGCAAGATGCAACATAATCATAAGGACATGCGACTTATTTATGTCAACATGCAGGCTAATATTATGTCAACATGCGACTTATTTATGTCATAATGCAAGATAATTATGTCAACATGTGACTTATTTATGTTAACATGCAAGATATGTAATTTGATATGCAACTTATTTTCTGGCATGTTGACAGAAATATTTTGTTTGTATGGTGGCATATTTCTGCCCCCTACATGCAAGATAAATCATGTTAACATGCAAGAAAATTATGTCAACATGCAAGAAAATTATGTCAACATGCAAGAAAATTATGTCAACATGTAAGATAATTATGTTGACATGCAAGTTACAAATCTTTTTTGATTTCATGATGTGATCAATCTAGCGGCTTGCATGATAATTTGCATTAACAGGTGTTTATGCTTAAAATTATCACGCAAGCCAATGGATTGCTCATCGCCTTAAAATCAAAAAATTGGAGTTATTCCTTATATTTATATGCTCTTGATTCCGCCAATCCACTTTCTACAAGCCCCGCTTCTGTCTCTATTTGTCCCGTCATGCACGTGATTTTTTTTACAGCACCTATCATGAACATTTATGTAGAAATAAAGTACATTAAATTTTACTATTTATTATTTTATCTCGGACAAAGACAATGGAAACATATATATTATTTATTATCTCGAATTCCTACATCAAAGACAGGACCCTACAAATTTTTTTTTGCAGTATGACCCATAAATTCTCCCAATTATCCGAGGAATATCATTTTGAACCACTGTTCTTTTAAATTGAAGAATTGGTCATTTTTAACACAAACTTGTTACTATGGGATGATGGTTGGAAGTTTTAGATATATAATAATATGACATGATGCTGATATAGTATATTCAGTATGTTTATCAACAAATAATAATCACACAAGTCATATTTAAACAAAAATTAAATCAAAATTCTGAAAAGGAAATAAATTTATTATACATGTTATGTTCAAACACGTTTGATTCATGGAAGTGAAATCATTTTTTCTCTTTCAAATGAAAAACAATATCATATCAACATATCTCCAAACCAGAAGTCTCTGTTGAGACTGTAGCTCTACTGGTTTGTACTTATCAAAAACCATTGCACAATTTTATGTGTCTTTGTGTAGTCTACTTGTGTGCCAACTTATTTTAAAATCAAACTAAAACTGTAGAAGGAGTAGCGTTTTAAAGGAATTTCACAGAAATTCTATTTTTAGTAACCATGGTAACACCATTCATCGAAATCAAAAACCGATGCACTATTTTATGTATCTTAGTGTAGTCTACTTGTGTGCCAAGTTATATTGAAATCAGACCAAAACTGTAGAAGGGGTAGCGTTTTAAAGGAATTTCACAGAATATTCTATTTTTAATAACCATGGCAACTCCGTTCATCGAAATCAAAAACCGATGCACTATTCTATGTTTCTTAATGTAGTCTACTTGTGTGCCAAGTTATATTGAAATCAGACCAAAACTGTAGAAGGAGTAGCGTTTTAAAGGAATTTCACAGAGAATTCTATTTTTAGTAACCATGGCAACACCGTTCACCGAAATCAAAAACCGTTGCACTATTCTATGTATCTTAGTGTAGTCTACTTGTGTGCCAAGTTATATTGAAATCAGACCAAAACTGTAGAAGGAGTAGTGTTATAAAGGAATTTAACAGAGAATTCTATTTTTAGTAACCATGGCAACACCGTACATCGAAATCAAAAACCGATGCACTATTCTATGTATCTTAGTGTAGTCTACTTGTGTGCCAAGTTATATTGAAATCAGACCAAAACTGTAGGAGGAGTAGCGTTTTGAAAAATTGTTTACAGACAGACGGACAGACAGACAGACAGACAGCTAGACAGACAGACGGACGCCGGACGCATTACTATCACATAAGCTCTTCTGGTCTCTGACCAGTAGAGCTAAAAACAAACTTGAGTCATGAATAAGTATTTTAAGTACTTTTATTGGCAGTGTTTTATCTTCGATGACAACATATTCCCCCTCTCTCTTGGTAAGTCAGACATTTAACATACAAAACCTAATACAATAAAAATTATCTACACCATTGCACGTAAAGCATTGAGCAATCCCTGATTCTCTAACATAGTATCATGATTTTCATTATCAGCATTATCTCTCAAAAATATTTATATCCACTATAAAAATCATCATAATCACAATTCTACATATTTACACAAAACAAAATTGAATTTTTAAATTACTTCCCTTGTTAGAACTCTTTTGGAATTATCTAAAAGGAAATGCAACAATTGTTTCTTTTTGCCTTTTTTTCTTTTTTGCCATTAGGGAAATTACATCTTTGATAGCTTTTTTCCTGACCTATGGCTGAAAGGTTCTTTTGCATGGTGTATCACTTATTTCACAAAACATTTAATAGCTTGTGTTCCTTAAATGAAGAATACTATTATCAGTCTGCAAAACAACCTAGAACTGTCCAGTAGGGACAAATACCCCCGCTGGGTTTTTCAGAGTAGGTGCCAATTCAGAAAAAATTTATGGATCTAGTAAGAGGTATTCACTATTTATATAATAGTGTTGCATTATGCATGTACTATGCCTAAATAGTAGGCAGGGTTTGACACATGGTGCACGAGCCGGAAAAAAACTATGTGTGAGACCCTAAATATTTAGGCATAGTACATGCATAATGCAACACTATTGTTATTATTATGCTGACTGTTAATTATTTATGCGGCAATCTATTTGACTTTTTCCTGAAAATATCGGTGCTTAAAGTAGGGGTCTAGTCGTGTGACGTCATAACCGGATCGGACTCCCGGATAGGTTTTTAACACTATTATTTATCGATAACATCCCGCAGTAATGGCGGCAAGAAATAAGAAGGGGAAATTCGTGAAATCCTCTCGTATAAAGCAAAATGAAGTCCTGAGGAGAGAGTGTGTAAAATATTGGGACCGCAGTGATGATAATACTTCCAAAGAAAATGTTGAAACACCAGTAATCACTCCAGTTACGAACGAAGACCATGTGTATCACTGTGTTGACCCTCTTGCTAGCGATGTCCGTGTTGC